TATATATATATATATATATATATGGAAAGAAAAATATCTTCTTGAAACAGAATGATGTCATACTTAAGATATAGACATATAAACTATAACTTATACAATAATAATATATTTTTCCTACTTTCGTTCCACTTTTATTTTAAATTAATCATCTCGGAACATAAATTCACTATTATTCTAGGTTAGTTACTAGATACTTGCTTTAAAGAAAGGAAACAGCGTAATGTGATAACTGCATAGTAAGTATTTGAAAATTATATGATCATCGTTAAACTGAGGTATATATTTAGTATATGTATATACATATATACGTGGTATATAACACACATATGAATAAAATTCGTTTAATCACGCGCATTGGCCAATCATTTGTACCTTTCATCACGACATCTACCGAGAAATGATAGTATAATGTTAAAAATCCACTAGTTGCCGATAAAAGGAAATCCGTGGAGTCTCTGGCTTAATTTCACAATAAAAGGTGTAAGAGAAAACACAATAATATTATTTTCCTTTAAAATGTTCCTCCAATAAAATTTATTTGTTAAAATAATCGTAGACACAATTGCAAATAATTTGCTTGAATATGAAGGGGACAGTGCAAGAATAGCTCACGGATGCTGATTTGACCAACGCTGTAAGGCTACGTTTAGAAGGCAGCCATCTTGCAATCCCTAATCAAAGATCTTCGGCTAGCGGCTATCGCTGTCTGATTTTCAGCCGGTTAATATCAACACACAGTTCAACAAATGGCTTTAAAACGAATTAATAAGGTACGTGAATGATCAGAGGTGTTCGTATTATACAAAGACAGTCGGGTGTTGATGTGATTGTGTGTCGAATGCGGTTGAACGCCCTTAACGATTTTGCAGTGAAGCAATGTGAGCCAGCATTGAAAATCATGTTGGCTTTTCCCCTTTTTTTTTGCATTCTTCGGTTGTGCTTTGATTTACTTGCGTACGCGTTTATATCGACATAGTGCATTATGCACGTTGCACAGTGCCACTTTGTGCCAGTGGACGTAGCTTCGGTGACAGTGAAAATCTAAAAAAATTTTAAGTGGCTAGCCGATAAATTGCCGGAAGTAACGTAAAACCGTGCATTACATACATCTATGTATACATATATGTTTACTCATATATACATATGCATAAAATTATAGATAACTTAAAATTTACAAAAATTTCATTAATATCTTCATATTCTATTTGTAGATAAAAATACTATTAGAAATCTTCTAATTAACCGTTACATATTTGTTTCATAATTTAGTTAATAATTGTCACCATGTGACTACAATTTACATTAGTATAATAAAGAGAATCATTTAAAATTAATATATTTTTTTATAATGCATAATCTATCAATTATTATATTTCTTAATCAAATTATAATTTAACGTAGAAGGACAAGAGAATAGAAAGTTCTACATGTATCGTTCTCAAAATAGTCATATAAAAGACAAAGTATATGTTACTTTCCCTTCTTACTTCATTTCTGTTATCTTGTTACATAGAATACAGAAAATATCATAAATGTTTTAACTCACTCATATTTAATTTAACTATGCTTTTCTTTTAAATTATTCATAAATTCATCTGAATTGATTTTTCTATTTAATTGCATGAAACAATTAAATTTTTACATTTAATTATATTTTTATATTTATTTTAATTCAATATAGATTCTTTATTTTAATCAATTTACTTCAATCAATTATACAATGTTAATATATTATGGTTATCTTATGTGTAAGATATATGAATTATTTTTAAGATATATAAATAATATAATATAATATAAATGAATTATTTTGTATATATTTATGAAGTTATATATTATAAATAAGATTCTGAAATTTAATTTATATTAATGATACATTTACATAATTATATATGTATATAGATATATACATATGTAAGAATGTTCTAGAATATTTTGTTTACACATGTTCATATATACTATATATCTATAGATATATAAATTTTAAAATTCAAAATTTTATTACACAAGACAAAAGAATATATTATTAATGATATATATGTATTAACAAAAATTTAATTTAAAAATAATTTTTTTAAAAATGAAACTATATATTATTGGAAGAAGTTATATATATAAGATGTGAATTATTAAATAAGATTTATATATTTTTATATCTATCTAAAATATTTTATTTATATTATATTTAAATTTATTGCTATTTAGGAACTTCAGGACCTTGGTAGAGATCCACCTGCGCAATGCTCTGCTGGTCCTGTAGGAGATGATCGTAAGTTCATTAAAAATTATTATTTATGCATTCATTTTAATTAAAGATTAGTAAATCATAATTGTCTTCATTATTATTATTATACTTATTTATGAAACATATAATTTATTTGATATTATAATTTTTTTGATTCTTCTAAAATATATATATATATCATTCATTGTCAAGGGAAACTGAAATCATTTTTTCATTATTTTTGTTTATTATTTGAAATTTTTGATGCTTTTATAAATAAATATAATTTATTATTTAATTTTAAGATGATCAATTATGATTTTTAATAAACTATAGCTTTTACATTTAATTCTCTACTTGCTTTCAGTATTCCATTGGCAAGCAACTATTATGGGACCAGTAAGTATATAATGATTTTAATATTATATTACATGAATTAATTAAATATTTATCATCTTGAAATGCATATCTTAGAAATATTAATGTACATATAAATATAATTTGAGTATTATTTTCAAGTATCTTCACTCTGATATTTAAAGGTAATTTTTAAGTAATGAAATTTATATTGTATACTATCTACGGCTAATAATTTCATATAAAAATATATAACCCAATGCATGTAATAATCCTCAATAAGATTTTATAAATCATTTTTCATTTGATTATAATATATTATAATATTTATGGAATATTATAATATTTGTTTCTATTTATAGTAATTATATTTACTATTTATCATTAATAATAATATTGGAAATTAATTATTAAATTTTATTGAATATAATTTTAAAAAAGATATTATTTCTTTCTTTTTCATATATGTTAAAAAAAATTATAAATATTAATAAAATTTACATTATATTTTAATCGCAATTAAATATTATATATTTAGGAATAAATGTTATTTTCAGCCTGACAGTCCATACCAAGGAGGAGTATTTTTCCTTACAATTCATTTCCCCACAGATTATCCATTTAAACCACCTAAGGTATATTAATAAAAATTTTCAGAGTATTTTATTATATAACAACATATAAATAATATATTAATTCTATATGTTAATTATATATATATAGGTTGCTTTTACAACCAGAATTTATCATCCAAATATCAACAGTAATGGAAGTATTTGTTTGGATATTTTAAGATCGCAATGGTCCCCAGCACTTACCATATCAAAGGGTTTGTAGAAATTTTTAAATAACAGGATGAAGAAAACAATAATAGCATAACATTTTTTTTAAAATTTAATATTTTAATGTAATCTTTAGAAAAACAAATTTTTTTTTTTTTTAGTGTTACTGTCAATATGCTCTTTGCTCTGCGATCCAAATCCAGATGACCCTTTGGTACCAGAGATAGCAAGGTTATACAAAACTGACAGGGAGAAGTACAATGAATTGGCACGTGAATGGACGCGCAAGTATGCCATGTGATGCGTCAATCTCCGTTGATTTCAACATCTAAAAACCACCAACAAGCAGCCCCAGCCTATTGCCACTTATGCATCAGCACCGATTGAAATTAGCTATGGCTCGTCTACTTTAAAACTTAAGCCAGTACTCGGGTTCGAAGAATGCTCAGACAAACGTGATCAATCTGAAGTTCCCTTCGTACCGAGAGGCCTGCGAATATTGAGACGTTGCCACAATGGCAATTGAGGCAATTTGAAAGGTGGTCACATAACATTATATATATATATATAAATCAGGAAAAAAAAAAGAAACATGTCCGCTTTGATTTTCATAAATAAAAATGGAAGTAAAATATAGGAGAGTGAAAGTAGGATTTGTATTTGAATTTAATAGTTTAATTTCTAATTATTGTGCTTATAATATCGTAATATTATATACCTACTTTCTCAGTGAAATGAAAACCTTGAACTGACAGCACACCGATTGTTAGTTTTAACGCAAGTGAGCAATGTTTGCCCGTCCCTTGGAACGATGCGGTCACTTTTTTGTAAGACTGGGCTATATATAAATACTACTGAAACTATACCTGTATGTTTTGTTCAATTATTAAAATTCCTTACCTATCTAACAAATTCTACGAGTAACTCGAAATTTATAGTTTGGTTCCTGTGTGTGTGTAGTAATTTAATTATGCATATCGTTAATCGATAAATTGGACTATACATCTTAAAATAATTCAACGTACGTAAAATAATAAATTTTGGTGACTTAAATGACCGCGACATAAGTACCTGCCGTTCATGGGCCCGTGCGATACTAATATCAATCAAAGGCATTCACGATTTCTTATGACGTCGTTTGGCTTTATTTACATATGAAAAATGTAGTCATCGATGTCACTATTTATCGATAAATGATGAGAGCGAAATACATTTTGTTTGAATTCTTATATAAAACGCGTTACAAAATAGATAAGAAATGTTTCAAAGAGCCCTAGAGCTTAACAATGGATTTGTAAAATCCTCTGAATTCATTTTATAATAGTGCGTCATTATATAATCAATAAAGTCATGCGTCGTACCTTGCGAATTAAGAATTCGCCCGTCGCTATGTTTTACTCGAATCAATGCGTTAATTATTGTTTTGCGTGTAAATTTTTCTTTAAGCGATTTTTTATTATTATTTAGTACTTGTCTTAAGTTTCCTTTCCATCCACAATATAAGTATATACATACCATCACATCCCATTATTATATTAAAACTCGTATATTATCATGGCAGTAAAATCATCCTTTAAAATTGATTTTAGTTTTTTCAAATACGTTTTCAATCGTTATACATTTTTGCAATTTATTGTGGCTGTAAAGGATCACAGTAAGATTTCAAATTATTTGCAAACTCCATTGCAATTTTTACAAGATAAAAGAACATGTTGTTAATCACGATAACATGTTATTTATCGATAGTTTGTTCAAACTAATTTAGAAACAATGCACCTCTCGTTGGTGCTAGCAGTGTTTCGGCTTCTAATCCTAGGTAACGAATACAATCCGAGATATCATAAAGATGGTCACTTAATTAGAGAGTAAGTAAACGATTTTGTCTTGCGAATGGTGTAAAGTGCGTTAACGAGCAAGTTTTGAATGTAATCGGTGCTTAAAATATGGCAAGCTCACGGAGCGAAAACGAAGCCTAGAAAAGACAAATCGATTAGTATGTAATATGGTATATCACTTGTTAATGTCGATTTTGTCTCATACGATCGTGTACTGCTGTAATTTAATTACAAGTAAATGCGCGGCAAATCAGGTATTTAAATATTTGCCTCGAAAATGGATCATCGTTCATCTCTATTAGAAGGAAAACTACTCATGTGTAATTAATTATTATTACCACATCTCATGTGTAATTATTATTATACATATTATAATTAATTATTATTATTTTAGCATTAGCCCTTTATATAATAAATTTCAAATAATGATAAGGTATATCTATTCTGATCACTTATAAACTACGATCATTGGCGATTATAGATAATTATCTTGATATTTCCATTTTATTTCATATTTTATACGTACTACAATTCTGTCATTGTTGCTTTTTATTTAAAATTTGTATTTAAAATCTGCAATATCTGCAATATGTGCCTTGACCGAATTTCGAAACGTAAAACTGGTAATTTAAATTTTTCAAAATAAGTGTTTCGTTAATTTTAAACAAGAATTCAATATCCGCGTAAAATTGTAAATATTAGTGCATTTTCTTTATTAATTTTTTAACTTAACTTAACTTTTAACTTAGGATAAAATGAAATTTTAAGAATAAAATTGATGTGTCAGATTTACAGTTTCATAACTGTAGACAAAAAAAGGGGACAAACAAAGAATCTTCGAACGATCGGAGTTTAAGGTACACGTGTGAACCAGCAGATGTCTTTGTTAGACTTTCACGAAGGAACTGACGCATCTTATGTCCGTTAACAATTTTTAGATACGCTGAAAAAAAAAACCGTGGAACGGTGAAAGTGGGAATGCTTTCCCCCTTTTGCTCTGGCTGCTCTTGACCGTTGTGCACCTATTTTACAACAGTGTTGGCAGAAACCTGCTGAAACAGCGAAGTCAGTGATGGAGATAAGCATATTTTTATCTGATCAACGATTTTCAAGACTCTTGGAAAAATGTATCACAAACAAGAATCCAATTAAAATTTATTTATTTTAATCATTTCTTCGAGTTATAAGTTTACATTTAGTTTACATTTAATTTAATTTAAACAAATACGAATTTATTTTCGAAATTTAAATACATTCTTTATCATTATAATATTGAAAAATTAATTTTAATATAAATACGATTCAACTATGTATATTATGAAAATATAGAATCTATTTCTTTTGATTCAAGGAATCAAAAGTTCATAAAAAATAATTTCTTTAGTAATAAAATGATAGTAATTGTTTTATTATTATAAGTAATATATTATTTTCAGGAATCTTTAACTTTATGTGGATGTGACAATTAATATCTTTACAGTAAAAATTTTATCTATTTACGATTCTATTTAGAGAATAGAATATTTAAAATATTTTAAAATGTTAATTGTTATTCAAAATTTTATCAAGTTTTATTGCACCGCGTTAATGTAATTCTTATTTTTTTTATCCCGTATATTAAGCGAATTTAACAATATATATTAATATAATTAATAATTAATAATGTTAATAAAAATTAAATTGAGTAACAATAAAAACTTCGCGATAATATTTTATATTTATTTCTTCACTATTTTTAATATTTAGTATTATTTTTAATTAATTCTGTGGAACGCGCTTTTTTACGATTAGTTTTTTCTTTATACGAATGTAGGACATCGGTAACTATATGATTTATATTATTTATATAATTAAGTTCCAAAAAATATTCATCCATTTCATTTTTGCTGAACTTCAAACTTAATATATTTATTATTAATGAGAATTATGATTTTTATATTATTTATTCTAATATATAAATAATGCATAGGTATCTTCTTAATATATAAAGAATGTTCCCTTTATCTCGGATCGTATAATAAGGAGAATAGAAAGTTTGAAAAAACGAAGTTGTCCAGTATTACTCATAAGTGTTCTACTAAAATATAACAAACTTATGCTCTTTTCTATTCTCTTAATATATTCTTATATTTCTAATCTATTATACATTCCTTATAATAAATATAATATAATTTTTCATCTCAATAATTCGATGTTAATAAACTGTTTCATTATTCACTAAAATAAAATCAATATCATTTTTCATAATTAAATATCAATTTAATTTATTTCACGTACAGAACTATAAAAATGATATAATATTAAACACAATATAATTACGGTAATCAAAAAAACTAAAACTACTATTAAACTTCTTCAATAATCAAAATAAATATATACTTATATTCTCTAAAAATAAAACTGAAAATACGAAAAAACAAAAAATATTTAACGATCTTCTTAAATATAAATATAAATATTTAAATCATAACATAAATAAATGTTTTTATAAAACGTCATAAACTTATTAACCAAATTTGTTCTAAAAAAAACACGACAAACACTGGCAATAGAGCCAACAGCCGAGTCAGGCGAGAGCGTGGAAAGCATAAGAACGTAAGATCGTGATTAACACGGAGATCGAGTGAAAATAAAAACTCGAGCCCATCGCTAGCCCGTAGTACGGGAATGTGTTTCGATCTATCGAGCGGCGCTTTGGACCGTCTGGTTACAGTGCAGTTTGTTCAGTGTCAGTGCTGGTCTCGGCACGTTCGGGGATCGAGACGGAGGAAGGTTGATTCGCTCGTGGTGGTGGATAGACACGCATGATCGTCGGAAGA